GGGCATGAAGCCATTGGTTCTAAGGCAACTGCAGTCACACACACACACACACACACACACACACACACACACACACACAATCACCAAGGCTGGAAAAGGCCTTTTAAGATCATCAAGTCCAGCCTGCGACCTGACACCACCACATCAGCCAGACCATGGCACTAGGAGCCACATCCAGGCACATAGCATTTCCCCCCTGCACGGCAATCTCGTGGTAGCACAATGCACCGTTTCTTTCCTCTGAAGTTGCTGCTCCAGCTGCTGGGCCGATCAGCATCCTGAACAGGGAACAAGGGCCTGTACTGGCTGCCAGCTTTTTGGTGACACCTAGTTTGTCAGACGATCTATCTCAGAAGGGATCTGGAAGAGCTTTAATGGTAAAACATCTGTTGTATTTATAAACCTGCGCTGATGCTTGAAGAGGTGTTTGAAAAATTGTATATGCCATTTTTAGATGAAGTTTGTCAGCCTGGTGTATATCGTACACATCATGTAGGATCATAAACATCATATACATCATAAAATAATAAGCATCATCACACAGAGTGTATATCTTTGCACAATGTCAAGGATCAAGGTTGTAGATAAAATGGCAGGAGATAAAAAGAATATTTCCACTTTTATTGAAGATTCAGTAGTCAGTATGTTTGGATAATGCCCTTTAAGTAATTAACAGTTCATTTGGTCAGTGGCTCAAGTAATTACTGCCTAATTTTCTTTTTTATTGTTATAATCTGGTTCTTTTTCCTATCTAATTACAGAATGTCATGATTATTTTTTTTTCGGAATGATTCAGGTGATATCAGACTGATGAGTATTTTAAATTGGAGGTTATAAGCTGATCAGAAAAACCTCCCAATAAGCATGCTGAGAATGAAGGCATCTGATCTTCTTTCTCTGTCAAAAACTCTATAGTGGTATCAAATGGATTTTTTCTGCTGGTGATGTTTTGATGGGAGCTGGTTGCCAATTATGAATTTGGAGCCAGGAGTGCAGCGGGAGAGGGCATGTTGGAGTTTACATCCACACCAGCAGTTAATCCTGTGCTGTAGGAGCAGAGGTGTAGTGCAAATTTGGTCCTGACGACCAAATGTCCACATTAATGTATTTTTGAGGTGTTTGCCTAGCTCTGGTCTGATCCCACTCACTCCACTAGTGGCTTGAGAGCCTGGGGTGTGCTGTTGGAGAGCTGCTCCAGATTTAGTTACAGGAGGAATTCTTTGTGTGGGCTCTGACTGTGCTTTGTTGGGAGAGCTGCTGAGCTGAACTCCAAATGGGTGCAGACACAGCTGTTATGTGTCTGGTCTTAAGTGTTGAATAAGGAAATGGAGACCATAGGAACAGGCTCTTTGAGGAAGTGGCAGTACTAGTTCTGACTTGGTGTTAGTATTCTTAATGGCCCTTGATTTTAGCTATTTTAAAAAAATCTTTTGATGTTGCTGACTTGGCTTCCAATACAGGAGAAAATTAGGAAGCTATTTCTGGGGCTATAACAGAAGGAAAAAAGGGAATCAACATTAGATTAAGAGGGTAAGATGCCAGAAACACTAATGCAACTCTCTCCCTAGGATAGGTCCAGATATTTTGACTTAGCCTACAGTGAGTAGCCACTAGATTCAAGAAGTATTTAATGAACAGTCTCAGTTGGAGCATGTGCTGCCAAACTGTGGACTTGATACTAAGTGAACTGTTATGGAGAGTGTGTCGACATAAAGGGGGTAATAAGTAGACTGTAAATAAAAAACTCCTTGAACAGTTTCTTAGATGATGTGTTTACTGCAGGCTCATTTTTAAAATGTTGTTGCTTAAATTAACAGATTTCTGCTTATTGAGCTATGTTGTTCAGATGCCTCATAAGTAGTATCAGCTTCTGTAAACCTAAGCAGACTTTTCACGAAAGTCTTTAGAGCACTAACACAATTAGCTTTGTAAAGTTGTTTTATTGAAGGGGAAAAGCCTTATAAAAAAGTAATCTTTAAGTACCGTGTTAATTTTTCTATTTAATGTGACAGGCTATAATATATTGACTTTGTAGCCAATAAATTTTTTTCTTAACCTAAATCTGGGATGAAGGAAGCTATAAATGTGGTTTGCTTAACAGGTTCAAGTTATTCTGCGTTGATTTGAACATAGGATAGTGTCAGAACTACACTATCAGCTGGGAAACTTCTCAATTCTGGCTAGGCACATTTTGCTCCTACTCATATTGGCTGCTTAGAGTGTACTTAAACACAGCTTGAACTGATTTGGATTTTAGTTCTCCTGTCATTTCACTCTTGTATCCTGACTTGTATTCCTGCCCTCCAGCGTGATGTAACTCAGAAATCTCTCATTCTCCTGCACTGTCAGGCCAGCGCCTTTGCTCTTTGAAAACATGCTGTTGCAATTTCTGTAAATCATGGGGAAAAAATTACATAATCTTGAAAGCTACTGCTCTGTTCCCTGCATTAAATATTGACATTTCTACCCTTCTATTTCCATCTTCTCTCAGAAGTAGTTCAGCCCAGTCTGACGTACGTTCTGTCACCCGGGGGGCTAAGTGTCCTGGCCTGTGTTCTCAGAACAGTGTTTTAGGAGAGGATAGTCTCTTTGTTTTTACATAAATGCCAAAATGATCATAGATTTTACATGTCAGTGCTTGTTGCCATTTTTTTTCCCCCTTAATCATGAACTCAGTGAGCAGATTTTTACAATTTGTAGCTGCTCAATCATTTTGTATGGCTTTTTAATCTCTAGAGGCCAGATGGAAGCATGATCTTTCAGCACTGTTTGTTTTGCATAATGTAGGGATTAGAAGTACATTTGAATAGCACCTAGTCATGGATGTGTAAATATTTTTCTTTTCCATCCATTATTTTTCTCTTCTACTGGTTTGGTTTTCTTTAATGAAAGTTTTCTATAGGGCAAACTGGCACCAACAAGTAAAAGCTGTTCCCTGACAGAAGAGTCTTACACAGGAGGAAGAAATGATTTTGGTCAAGGAGATCTGAGAGAGAAACTGACACTCAAGTGGTAAGTGTGAGACAGCTGATGACTTAGTTTCAGGACACTAACAGAACTGCTGTTGGACTGATCTGGAATGATGCGTTTGATTTTCCTCTTCTGCAGAAGCTTTATTTCAATTTCCCCTACAATCCTAACTCTGATTTTAGCTGCATTTATGGATTTATTCTCTGCTTTCAGACTGCAGTCAATGGATTGAAATCCATAAATAATAAATGTCAAGTTTCAATTTAAGATGCAGTAACAAGATGCTATCAGAAGTTTTATGTACTTGAGCAGCTTTTTATAGCCAAGTCCATCCAGAGTAAAATCCTGACACATTCTTAGGATAGGAACCTCATGGCTTTCCTGCATGTTTGTGGAAGCCCATGTAACAAATCCTGTGTGGCAACTGAAGGAGAGGACACTTGTGCACCTGTTTGTGGAAGGGTTACATAAAAAGTCCTGCAACATATTTTAGCATCTACCAGTAAGCTGAGCAACTTGACCTGCTTTACCCTCACAAGATATATGATACTAAATTAACAACAAAAATAGGAAAAAAAAAAAGACATACTAACATGAAAAAACACATTTTATTGCACTTAAGTTATAAGAAAATAAAATTTCTAAGTGAATCAAACCATAGACACAATCCCTTTAAAGGTTGTTTTCCTCCATCATGTCAGGTTGTTACATAACTAAAATTAACCAACTGGAATCTGATTGTTTTAAATCAGACTATAAATTAAAAAAAAAAAAAAAAGGAGGAAAAAAAGATCACCTAGGATACAGTGTTAAACCACTTTCACAGTTCAGCTTGAGTTGTGGCTCTTGGAGAATGAGGCAAACCATTTGACTCTTCCGTTTCTCATTTAGTTTGCATGTGACATCTTTACAAAAACGTAAGTTTTTGCTCTATCAGTTCCTCCCAGCAATAACTGTAACAGTTGTTTGTTTTGTTTTTTTCTCAAATACTGTAAAACACTAAGACTGACTTTATTTTCATTTTTGTATTTTATATAATATTTTTTAAAAATTTTGTCAGTTTTTTAATGTATAGTCATTCCATTCACCACAGCCCTCACAAAGAAAAATTTCCCCACAGAACAGGCTGCAATAGCTTTGTTCTAAGGAATGTGTTTTAATTTTTGCCCAGAAAAAAGAAAATAAGCTTTGCACACACACTCAATTCTTTATTTGCAGGCAAACTTCACTCTTAATTGTCTGAAACTCTTCCACTCTCAGCCTCTTAGAGGCACAGTTGGCTCAAGTTTCAGTGGCAAAAAGTCTTTTTCTGTAACCAAACTAGAGCAAATTTGGAATTCAGTCTGGGACTAAAACGTCACAGCAGAAAAAAAAATAAAAAAAAATAATTTGCTTTTCTTTCTTTCATTTAGCAGCATAAATAAGTTTGGCCACTGGGAATACAGTACAGGGGTGGGACAACAATCCCATAATTGAAGACCTACTTCTAGCACCAGCATTGCGAATTAAATCCATCAGAGGACTCTCAAAACCCAGGACAACTTGCCACCTCAGAGCAACTTATGCTTTGAAGAGTGTAGATGGAAGCAACAGTAAATAGATGAAACAGAGGCTAATACTGTGATTGACATTGGCAATGGTTGGCAAAAAAAAAAAAAGAGGAAAAAAAGAAAAAAAAAGAAAAAGCTCTGATAAAACTGTACAAAACAATTCACAGTAATATTTTAGCTTTTCCACACCAGGAATGGACTCTTTGTTTTTGTTTGTTGTTTTTTTTTTTCATTGCAGATGCTCTCTAGTTTTTCCAAGTCAACCAGTGACTGCTCGTAGAGGTTGGAAGGGACCTCTGGAGGTTGTCCAGTCCAACCCCGGCTTGGAGCAGGGCTAAGGGACAGCGCGTTGCTCGGAGGGGCTGCTGGGACCCAGGCTGGCCCAGGGGGGCACGAGCAAGCTCGCCTGTGCAGCTTCTTTCAAGATCTTTGTGGTAAAATAACGTGTTAACAAGAACTGTAACAATTTGTTTTTTCCACCTCCAAATTGCTCAAGGAGCAGTTGGAGGAAAGTAAAGAAATAAATTGCACCTGGTTTCATTTCAGAAGTCGTATTTTTGCAAAGCTGCCCCGGTCAAAAGTGTAGCCTTTTTATGTAACAAGACAGCAAATGCCTCTCTTGTCAGTTAGTTTGTCATCTTTGTCTTCTCCTTCGTAGTCTGTAGGTCTTTAGGATCTGTTGTCCCAAGCCAACATCCTGCACCACCAAGGACAAGGGATTTTTTTTTCCTTTTTCTTTTTTTTTTTTTTTCTTTTCTTTTTTTTTTTTTCAGGGGGTGGGAAAGGAGAACATCGTCTACACGTTTGGACAAATTCATCTTTCTGCCCTTCACTTCATATCCACGTCAAAGTCCAACACCAGCAGCTTTGTTTCCTCAGTCCCGTTGCGGCTCCCAACCGCACACACCAGCTTTGTGTTAGAAGCTCTGATCCGCCACACGACGCCTCCGCTGCCCCCGCTCTCCAATGTGACTAGATTTCGGATAAATTCACCCGTTTTCAAGTCCCAAAGTTTTACAGTCCCATCATCTGAGCTGGTAATTACAAAGTTCTTGTTGAACTGTAAACAGGTCACAGCACTCTGATGCTTATTGGGACCTGTAACAGCAAACCAAAACATTTTTATTTGTAATTAGAAAGCAATGTCAGACAGCACTGCACACAGAATGAATACCCAGCTTTTTCATACAGCTGTTTCTGCCTATGAGATGTGTTCACCCAGGTTTTGTGCATTAACAGGCACAAAAGCCTTGTTGTGTTTTCAATAAGTGAATGCAGGTATACAAAATTTCCCCAAGATTTCCTTTCTCATTACAATGATCTTTTGTTCTGTACAGGGCACATGTGCACTTCACATTCATGAAAAGGAACTTAACCATCCAGAATGAGGTGACCACTGTAAGTGTTTATCTTCCAGTCCCTTTGAAGTGTTATTATGAGATTACTTTATCAGTAAATATTGATAGTTATATATTGACATATAAATATGTACTGTTAAAACAGCAGAGTCTGCTTTACAGGGAAATGTAATTTTCTGCTCCAGCCAGTGATGCTGCATATGATTCATGGGAATGATATAAGACCTTTCTTGTGGGGCAAAACACAACAATGTGTTTGTGTGCATAATGCCTGAGTGGCAACTGTCAAATGGAAACAAACATCTTCTTACTGAAATAAAGAAAACATCTTCCACTCATTTCTCTTGATTTATTGCAACAGACAGTGTACTTTGCCTCCCAATCCAATTAATCAGTAGGCTTTGAAACATTCAAGTGACCCCTAAATAAGTATGTTGACTGACTGTTCAGAGATGTCATTTCTACATATTTCTGTGGCTTATTAGGCTAATACACCCGCTGCAAATTGCTATCAGTCCAGACCATCTGCTTTTCATAATAGGCAAGTGATTTGAATAGATTAGATTAAATACATTCTATTCTTCAAATTCAGAGAAAGATCATACAGCTGTCATCAGAAAAATATTTAAGTTGTAAGTGGTCTGTGCCTGTTCTTTCTATGTAATGATATAATGTTTTGTTTGTTTGTGGTTTGTTTGTTTTTATATAGGATCTGCAACGTAGATTACTGCAGGCAGCTTGATTTACATGAAGGTAGTTTCAGCTCACCTTGCAATGTCTGTAAACATTGTCCTGTTTTGATGTCCCAGATTTTGACTGTAGAATCGGCATTCCCAGACACGAGGATATTGTCCTTGAGTTCCATTCCACTTGTGAGAGACTGGTGGCCTGTTAGCGTGTGAATGCAGTTGCCTGTCTCCACATCCCAAACTCGGATGGAAGTGTCTAGAGATCCACTCACCACATGGATACCATCAAACTACAAGAAAGGTAAATCTATTACAAACAATTGTATTAGCATCTAATGAAGAAGGCTATTAATTAAGCATTTAATTCACTAAATGCAACATTAGATACTATATATATTCGGCAACTGTGTTACACGGTAAGAATTCCATCTAGGTAGAAATGGCCATGTTTGATGTAAGACCAGGAGATTCATGGTCAGTGTCATTTCCTGTCATAGTCATGGGCTGTGAGGCACACAGGTTGAGGTGAATGACTCGGAACCACTGGTCTTTTACATGTAGTACAACTCCTTTAAACACAACAGAATCCTGACTATACTGCAGCATGCAACAGTTAAGAAAATTTAGTTTTTCCTAATAAAGATGTTGACAAGCCAAACCTGCTTTTCACCAAGTCAAAGGAACTTGAAGCTGGAGAAGGACAACAACATCAATCCAGAACCTTTACACAAAAGCTAAAACATAGGGAAATGGAAGGAACATAACTCAAAAAAATGCTGGGTTTAGCCATTTTTATAATCGTAATTGCTTGCAGTAAGTAGTAACTTCCTTGTCCTTAAAGGGAAAGGCATACGGGCTAAGATGGATGTCCATGGTTTTTTCTGGGTATGTACTATATATAAAATAAAACTATGTAGAACAAGAATATGTAGAGAAACCAGCTATGAGACGATATAGTTTTGACCAAGGGGACAGAACACATAGAGAATATAAAGGTGGAAAGTAACTTGAGTGTTAGTGACGACGACGTAAGACTCCAGAATTCTCAAAAAAGAAAGGGAAAAGAGCAATAGAATAAAACCAGTGGGCTTCAAGGAGGAATACTTCAATTGAGACTTCCTCCCCATGAAGCTTTTATGTATCTGTTCTTTGAGGGGAAGAAGAGTTCACCAGAGTTGGCACTTTCTTAAAGACACAAACTATCCTTGTGTGAAGGAAAGATGGGAAGTGTAGTAAATTACTAAGACCCACTTGGCTAAAGTACAAGGAATAGTACAAAAAGTAGAAACTAGATCAATTGAAGTGTTTAAAAGAGCACACTGGGACAATATCAGAAAGGCAAGGGACAAAACAAGATAAAACTAGCAAGAACGGTTAAGGATGATAAAACTTTTTTTCTGTTAAAGAAAATAACAACAAGAGGAAGACCCAAATAAAAAAGCTCATTTATGCTCAGTGGGAAGGAAACACCAAGTGAGGCCAGCTATTTAACTTTTTGCTTCAGTACTCAGCCATCTGAGTGTAGGCTCACAGCACTGCCACCCGAGCACAAGTTTTTGTTTAGAGTGGGAAAAAAAACCCACCTAAGGCAAGTTGTTTTAAGAAAATCTCAAGAGACATCTGCTACTATCTTTGAGAGCTCATGGAAGACAGACAAGGCTTTCAGATAGTAAATACAAGTATTTTCTTTATTGAAGGAGATGATGATGCGAGATGGGGAACGACGGATTGGTCAGCCTGACTTGCATTTCCAGAACAAGACTCAATCTGGCTGTAAGCCCATAGCAATGCAGTAAGTAGCAGCACACATACATTTGTAGGAAAATTAACTAACATGATTTTTTTTTTCTGTGCCAGAAAAAAGGCCATGTGAAAACAGAGGATGTCTTGGTTATATTTTCACAAAGACAGAGACAAATTTGAGGCAGGGATACTACCCCATTCAGAACTTTGTTCGTAGCATTATTAGAGATATCAGAGTTCCTGGAGGGGTCTGGCATTTAGTATTTTCATTAGGATCTGGGTGATCTTTGAAATGGCAGAAGTGACCCAAGGCAAAGAGTGTAAAAGTCAACAGAAAATTGTGAAGATCTAAGCTTGGCAGGGAATGAATGAAGGTAGCTTGGGAGAATGTAGGTCTGGGCAGTAGTCTTTGTTACAGAGAGAGCCATCCTACATTCCTTGTCCATGTGGACTGACTGGTATCTAATAATGGCAAAGAAAGAACCCAATTAAGGGAACTCAACTATGTGAGACTGCTTCTTTTTTATATAACCTGCAGAAAACTAACATCTCTACAGTCAGACATGCTTGAACATGGCACCTAGGGTCAAAAGAATACAGAGAGCAACTGGCAAATACAGACTGTTTATCTGCTTTATGCATTGCATTGCTGGCAAAAAAGACTACAAAAAGGCATTAAAAAACAACTTTTCACTTCTAGTGAAAACTCTTAACTTCTGATAAGATTTTGACTGGAATTTGCATCCTGTTTTGGGCACCCTCTTTCAAAAGAGGCTGGGAACTAATTTGAGTTCAGATGAAAGGACAAGGAAGGTTACATAACCCATCAGACCTTTAAGAGAACTAAACTAGATTGATGAAACAAATTTGAATTCTTTCCTGCAAATTAGTTGTATTCCATATACATATTATATTCAGAAAGACAGCTTTAAGGCTGGACATCAAGACAAACTTTGATACTGCTATAGTCAAACAGACAATGGTTTGAATCAGTGGCTGAGCCGTTATCCAAGAATCTGTGGATTACTTCAAAGGCACCTAAGAAAGAGTAAGAAAACACAGCATGGTCACTAGTCTTCAACTGCTGCATGAGGATCTTTGGAAAATGTTAAGGAGTCTACAAATGGGGAAATACTGAGGTATAATAGAAAATGGAGTGGGGATGGGCAAGACAGGCTGGGTATTCAGCCTGATTATTCAGTGTATGGGAGTTCTGCTGGTTGGGGCTATTTCAGGGCAAAGGGCAGGAGCTCACCACACAATTTTAAATAATCTGTTTTACCACTGTAAGCACCTGTAGCCTCCTGCCCCTAGAAATTTTTTTTCAGAATGCCAAGTTTCATTTACAAGGTGTAAATAGTATCAGTGTGTAACACAACCCAATTATTTGGTCCATTATTATTACCGTATCAGAGCATGACATGAATATTCATAAGACTAATGAAGAGCTACTGGTGAAGATAAGGCAGAATAACACATACTGTTCCCAAACTGCCCTACATGAAATACACACCCTTCAGAATATTTTCAAGAGATAGGAAGGTAGTGCAGAATTTTTAACTTGCTTGCTGCTTGTCTAGAAAATACTCCTCAGCATATGAAAGTAGGAGAAGGGCTTAAGATTTCTGAAGAGTTTTACTACATATTTTGGGAAAGGAAACTAAGTAGGTAGTTTGTTCATGTTTAATCTATTATGGTGAGATACACCCTATGAAAGATGCACTTTATGAAAAACGTCTCTAGCACAGAACTTCACTTTCTGAGCCACATACCATAGGAGTTACACAACAAATGCAATTTCCCAACTTTGTTAATTGCTTTTTCAAGTCCTGCCAGATTGTGGTGAGAACAAGAACAAGCACAAAATTAATTTATCTCGCCTTTCAATGCCTGGCAGTGATATTTTGACTCCATGAATGAACAAGATTATCAGTTGGGTTGGTAAAGGTAAGAACCATCGACCCGAGGTCTCTGTGTATCTTTGCCAGCTTCGTTCTGATGAGCAGTTGGGCAACTGGTAGGCAATAGAGCTGTGCCACAGAGCAGGACCAGAATAACCTCAATCTACAAGAACATGTCTCTGTTGACAAAGCCTCACAGTTGTAGATCTGGTCCCTACTCAGAGAAGAGGAAGAAGGCGGCTGGAGGTTTGCATCAGAACATTTTAGGTTCAGCTTTACTGTGAATTACAGTTTTCAGCTGGAAGATGGGACTGCAAAGTAAGGATAAAATGATCTGCACAATTCAAAACATCAGTCCAGTGAGGTTTCTGGCAGACTGTCAATTACCATATAATCTGGTTTATTTAAAACCGTAAGTTTAGAATTTCTTTGGGGAAACCAAAACCAGCTCTGAAATACATGAAAGATATAAAAAAACCCCAACCCAAGAACCAAGCAAACAACCCAGCAACCCACTCAAGTACGTTGCTTGCTGGTATAAAGATTTGGGTTTTATTGTACTGGGTGCTTTAAAAAAAAACCAAACTTGTCTAAAAAAAGTCTCAGTTTCCAAATTAAGACAACTACTGTAGGAGAATGAAAGAGGGGATCATCACAAATGCCTCTATATTCTAATGGTCTGTACAAGTCTGGAGTAGGTACTCATAATTTAATAAACAAGATGAAATAAACTGACTTTAAATGTTACTTAAGGAAACTAAAGCAGCAGATGAAAATCACATACCTGTAAGGAGTAGACTCTGTTAGTATGCCCTTGCAGTGTGTGCAGACAGGTCTCTGTCTCTGGATCCCACACTTTGACCATAAAATCATATGCACCACTTACAACCCTTCTGCCATCATACTGAACGCACCGAACTGCAGCTACGTGGCCCATCAGAACGTGTAAACACTGGCCCGTCTCTATGTCCCAAACTCTCAGTGTAGCATCTCGAGAACCACTGACCACTCTGGAGGAACAAGAAAACCCCTCCTGTACTTAGCATTGGATACAGAAGTATTAAAACAATTAGACTCGGGTACATATATCAGTTATGAGTTTCCATTTGGGACATAAGATAGCATTAGTCCACTAGCCAACAAAGGTCTGGTTTGGCATGACGTGGGTCACAAATGACTTGAGTGTTTTCCTTCCTTGCTCTACTCACCTCCTCAGGATCTATTTGATATAATCAGCAATCAGTATTTAAAAAGGCATTTCATTCCTGAACAGCAAAATGATGCCATGAGAAATTATGTGGACTGTTGTATCTGTCTATGAAAGCTTATGAATATGCTGAGCTCAAGCCAGAGTTATGAGCATTTTGTTCTAATGACTAAGTTAACTAATTATAACACTTAAACAAAGGAGACCTTTATAAGTTTTACTTTTAGTAAATAAACAGTTGTTCTGCTCTTAAAAGCCTTTTTAGGCAAGGGCAGAAATAAAAAGGAATTAGCGTTAATGGAATTGATAAAGAAAAAAACTCATCATTCTTCAAAAAAGAAGAAATGCAACAACAGGCACTCTGTCAACAGCTCCAGACTGTAGCCAAGTAAAAGAGCTTTGCCAATGTTTGTTGAATCAAGGCATGGTTTACTATTGCAGAAACTATGATATAATCAGTTAAAATTTAAATAAGATACTGCAGTGACGAAACATTAAAAGTCATTCTGGAAAATGAGTAAACATTTGTAGAACTGACAAAACGGAGAAATTATTCAGAGTGTGGGAGACTGGAGAACTGGTTCTGAAATAACGCAGACTATAACTTTATAAAGTACATGACTCAGTTTTCTGTTAATTAGTATTCTTATGTGTTTGCTTCTATTAATCATCCCCTCCCTTGTGTTGATGTACGTAGTTTAGTGGGAATGCTTTGCCTGGTTTGTATTTCACTTAGTGTTGGATGAGGTACCCAAGTGTAGATGACAAGCCAGACTGTGGCTGTGGCTTCAGACAAAGCCTCACCTTTTCTCATGGAGATGCATGCAGCGCACAGTGGAGGTGTGTCCATACAAGGTATGTATACATTCTCCAGTCTCAGCATTCCAGACTTTCAACGTTCGGTCTGTAGATCCACTGATGATGATATTGTCCCTCATCTGTGATGACCAGACTCCACCCGTGTGCCCAACCAGCGTTCTCAAACACTGAAAAGAAATATTTTGCTTAGTTAATCCCTTTGACAGAGTCGGATGGAAACTTCAGAGAAAGTAATCTAGGAGGTAACAGTAATCTTTCCTAGCAAGAAGCCAGAAGAGCCCTGGAGACTGCTCTGTGATTCAACTGTAACATCCCACCTTTTAGAAAATATTCACCACATTTCTCTCTCTGTTGTTGGTACTTCAACTATAAGGAATTTTCCCTATGATCTTCCCCTTGATGATAAGCTAAGCTATCTTTCCAAATTTCTCAACGCAGAACATGCTTTGCAGCCTTTTGAGTAATTTTCCTGGCATTTTTGTGAGTCACTGCAGGTTTCCCAACAGCTTTTTGAAGCATAAGTATTAGATCATTTAGTGGTTTTACCACCAATCTATAAACCATGTACTCTTATTTTATTTTTCTGTTTGTTTATCCAAGAAACATCGCATCCGTAAGCTGTAGCTACAGCATCAATACTGCAAAATCACATTTCAAACCTTTTGCAGACTTTACTGTTGCCCAGGAGGGAATCCCATACCACTTAAGTACAGCCTACCTTCTTTGATCCCAAATGTATGACAGGATTTCTCACCGTGTAGACACAGCGTTTGCTCACACCTACTTCTATAAAACCTCCATTGCTCTGGAGCAATGACTTGCCTCCGTCTCCCAGCCTGCACTCCTTACAAGTAATGACCATATATATGCTGTCTCACCAGGCAGCAATAAGTGCTAATTAGCACAGAGAAGAAGACAGCCTTGCAAGACCCCTCTAGAAAGATACTTCACGACAATTCTGTATTTACATTAACAACATGATCTCTGTAATTACCCACTTTCTAACCCATTTAAACGTGCCATTTTGATTTTTGCACTGCTCTATTTTCAATCGTGTCATGGGGATACAGTCTTGCAGTGCACACAGCCATCTATTTCTGCACTATTATTTTTATCAGTCAAACCTGTAACTGCATGAGAAAAGAGGTCAAGACAGTTTGATGATCTTTTTTTCTGTAATCTGATACTAAGTGGCATTAATTGCCATGGCCTTCCTGTAACTGTTAGTTGACTCCTCCTGAGGTAGTCCAATTTTTAAAATCTGATATAATGTATCTTAAATAGCCAGTCTTTCAGTTTACTCCAGTTAAATATTTACACATTTTAGCTTTCTGACCATCCTTTGGCTCTTGTCATTGTGCTCATGCCTTCTGAAAAAACACCATTTTTCTCTCTTACGTTACTTTAGAAAAAATAAAAATCAAACACAGATTAACTGGATCAACTGAAATAAGAAAAACTGTAACTTTGGTAGTTGTTTAACATCCGTGTGAGTTTCTGCTGAAATGAAGTGTTATCACTGCATGTTGCATTTCCATCACTTGAATTTTCTCCCAAAGTAAGTATTTTTCCGGCATCATTGACAGTATACTAACTTCTGACGTAAATATCCTATTCTTTTTCAATTCATAGCTTTTACTCACTTTTACAGATTCCTCTCCCCCCCTTTTTTTTTTGTTTTTTAAATTTCAACCTGTTTGCTCATATTTTAAGAAATCATCCTTCTAAAGCAGTAAGAACACAGAATCCTTATTTTGGGCTTTACATCTGTCAAGGGAATTATTTAGTCATAAGCATTTGCACAAACTAACCTTTAGGGTATTTTTAATTTTATTCTTCAGCATCAGAGTAAGCATCAGGACTGATACAGCAACTCTTCCATCTTTCATACACAGTCCTGGCTCTCTTAAAGGTTTTGGGTAAATAGTCACACTAGGATTTCTATTTACTTTCAAAAATTACTGTACAGGAGTTGTTAAGTCATGCTACTATGATCAATTTTATATATTTAAAGGAACATTTTGCTTTGAGAAGGGGGTATATACAAAGAAAGTATTTCTGTTCAATTAAAAAATGTAAATCTCAATATGGGTTCCTTCATTAGACAGTTTGTTGTAGAGAAGCCAGCAGAGGCAGGGTGAGGCTCCCTATTGCTTTTAAGTTTATTCTTCCCCAGACTAGTATTTACAGTCCCATCAAGGATCATACAGGCATGCAAAGACAAATGCATAATACATTCAGCTTCAACATTATGAAGTGGATACCTTTTGCATCTTAAAACATGTTATGCTCAATAGCTGTCCTGTTGTTCACCTAACAATATAATTTAAAAAAAGCTAAGTACACACAACACCAGTCTAGAAGGGAAAAAGTACTGTTTCCCTGAGGTCTCTTCTGTATCCTTGGAGCATGGGCCATCAGTCATCTTAAAACAAAAAATCTGGGTGCTGAGTAGCTGTGATGTTCTAACATGAGTGAAATGTTCAGTACTGTCTTTTTGACTGCACATACTGTTTTGCTTCTCTAAGCCAAAATTAAATTATTGAAGCTTATTAAATTCCTGCCTGAGCTGGATCTAATTTAATAGGAAATATTTAAACCTAAAGCAAGTTACTTTTTTTTTTTTTTTTGGTGGCTCAGCAATATAGTAGCTTAGAAAGAAAAACAAACTCTGCATTTAAAATCAGAGCCAGTAAAATGGAACACGTCATTACAATAACTTGAAAACAACAGAGAGAATGCTAGAAGACAAGTGAGAAAGGGAGATCCAGAGGCGTAAGAGCAGCCTGTATTAGGCTTTAAGGAAGATAAAGTAACGTATCTGTCCAAATTCTTTAGAATCCATGTCACAAACTCCACAAGATTAGCAGAATTACCAAGAGAGCAGGGATATATGCCAATGCCAACATGTGCATAATTTAAAAGGAAATTTTTAAACCAAAAGCAATTTCTTTTTTTTTTTTTTTTGGTGGCTCAGCAATATAGTAGCTTAGAAAGAAAAACAAACTCTGCATTTAAAATCAGAGCCAGTAAAATGGAACACGTCATTACAATAACTTGAAAACAACAGAGAGAATGCTAGAAGACAAGTGAGAAAGGGAGATCCAGAGGCGTAAGAGCAGCCTGTATTAGGCTTTAAGGAAGATAAAGTAACGTATCTGTCCAAATTCTTTAGAATCCATGTCACAAACTCCACAAGATTAGCAGAATTACCAAGAGAGCAGGGATATATGCCAATGCCAACATGTGCAGCATGGCAATTTCACATCAAGGTGACTTGTTTTGAACTGGACTAGTTGCTGTGTAGGAAAAGATGACTCAAATGTTTACTGGTACTTGTTCCAATTCTTGCACCAGACGGCACCAGGACCACCCTGCAGTGCACACTCCGATGGTACAGCAGCATTTTTGACATTTTGACCATTTTTGAGTGCTCTACCTGTAGCTCATTTCCTAAGGAATTCAGCAAAACAGCTGGCTTACCTTGCCTGTAACCGCTGACCACACTTTTAGGGTGTTGTCATCAGAGCCGCTCACGATTCGGTTCCCGCAGAACTGAAGGCAGGTGATCACGTGGTCATCGTGGCCTTTGAGCACCTGACGATAAAGAACATGAAAACGTACAGGCACAATTTAATGCAGGAGATTAGAGAGAAGCAGGAGAAACAAAGTGCTCTTCTGATTCATAAATTATACAATGCTAGAGTTGCTTCAATAATAATAAGGCCCTTTAATCCCATGTGTCAAGTCTAATTTACTGCCAGCTGGGACCAAAGAAGGCATTTTCCTTCTTCCATGGAGTGGTGCTGCACTGCTTAGCAAGCGCACTACAGCTAGTGGAAGCCTCCTGAAACTACCAGGAAATCACTAATAAGAGTAGGCTGAATCAGAAACGGGACATTACTCAATTCCCCTGCAGTTATTCCATGCCTTTGTTCTTTAGTTTGAGTTACTTCTATCTTTTAAGAGTTGCTTCAATGTTAAACAAAGGAGGGGGAGCTGTATTATTTGCTGCATAGTTGTAGTTTAGTGGTCAAGCCTGACTACATCTTTTTTTTTCCTTACCAGCCAAGCACTGTAATAATCTATTAAATGCCAGGCAGCACCCAAGTAAAAAAAAATAGAAAACCATTAACTTGATTAAATACAAACAAAGCAGTACTTTATTGTGCTTTAAATTCGGATTGGAATGTTGCTTTAAAGAGGTGGGATTTTCAATGCTTGATTTGGGAAAAACTATGATTCAGTCTTAATTGATTTCAATACAGCAAAAAAAATCCTTGTCAGAATACACAGGATGAGGAATTTTTCATTTAAGATATCTGAACACTTTTCAAGATGTTCATTGAAATGAAATGGGCATTTGGATGATGCCTGAGGCTGTAATTTTAATAATAATTCCAAGATAACTTGATGTGGCATATCAAGGCAAGAAATACAGAGCTGTTGCCAGAGATGTGCAGAAGTCATGGCCAAATAAACAGCAGGATGTAGCCATACGTTTTCCATGGGAAATTTTTTGTTCTTGTTTTTATTATTTTGTTGTACAGTAATCCAGAAAACAGGCAAAAATGGCCTTAAAACCTTAAAGGCTAGGATATGGATGTGGGTTTCCTTCATGTTTCTGACTGCTTGTTCAATACCAAGTTTGATTAGACAGTTGCTATTTTATATCACAAAATATTTGAAGTACTGCTTTGTATCTTCATATTGGAAAACATGCACTGGTAACATATCAATGTCATTAAAGAATTAATTTTAAAAAAACCCAACAACAAACAAAATGTTAAGACAGATTGAAGTTATTGTCTTGTGCTGCTTAATTTAGAAGAATATGTATAAAGCATGACATGATCACAGAATAGTTGTGGAGTATTTTTATGTTGCAACATGGCCCAGCTCTCCAAATAAGTACCGATATATATTTTAATATAAGCATTTCCAATCTGTCTCAAAGAGACTGGCATATTTATAGGAATTCACTAAATTGTACAGAAATTTTTAGAACAGCAGTGAAAGAATTCTGCTGTATGAAGAATCACACTTTGATTTGCTAGTACGGTGCTCAGAAATTAAATAAAACCTAAAACACAAATTATTTTTTGCTGTACCAATACATTGCTATTTGTGCGTGGATAATCTGGCTTGTCTGAAGGAAAGAACCAAGCTATGAGTTGATTCTGCTTTGTTGATAGCACCAAGCACACAGCTCAGAAACTCACCTTAGGCGATTTCAGTTCTCCTCGCCGCCAGTTGGTATCAATCCTGTGCTGTCTAATGTAGGCGCTTTTCCATGGGCTGTGTATAAAGCCTGGCTTGATTACTTTCCTCCTCTTGATATGCAGTGGTTCATCAATCCCTAAAACGAGTTTTAAACAAAGGGGGGAGGGGAAGAGATGAGGCCACCCCAAAGAATACAACCTGTCTCCCTCCAAAGCCTTTATAGTGACCTCTGACTTAAACGCTGCATTAAGGTAAGAACCTCCCACGTGCTCGTTTGCACCGTGTGCCAGTGACATCCCCTGCTCTGCAGCACTTGGTACTACAGCTCTCCTTGTTGAAGCATAATCGTGACTGTTACCATGGCTGAAAATGCTCTAGTTCATCATTATTTGCTGGCAACCTAGAAGTTTGTTCTTTCCAATGCAATGTAGCAGAATATTGCGTTTTTCAAATGGGTGCTGCTGCCCCCCCCCAAAAAAAAGGTCCATAAACACTTGCATGCTCATTTTGGAACTCTTCAAAAACTAAACCTTTCTGTCTGTGGTCTTCCTCTCTGGTAACCCATCTTTATTACCTTTAAGTTCACTCTTCATATCAGTGAGCTTTTAATGCTTTTCTTGACTTGAAAATCTGTGTGCATTTGGTACTGTCCTCTCCTGGCTGGAACTTTAGCTGTGCCCTTTCTGAACTGACACTGATGTGGCAGTGCTTTGTTTTAGCCTTTCTAGTACAGCTAGAGCTGGGGTTTTGCTTTGGTGAGGTGTTTTTTTTTGGTTTGTTGGGGTTTTTTTACAATTCTCTCACCCATCTCTTTTTCCTCTTTTTTTTCTATGCAGCTCCTCTCTCCACTGCATCTCATTACTAGCATGAGTCTTGTCTCTTTCCAGTATCTGGATTTCACTCTTCTGCTTTATCCCTTCTCTGGTGTCTATCTGCAAGTCTTCAGTTAACTGCTCCTTCATATTACTGAGCACCTTAAGCAGTCTAAAATATTGTTTTGTTTGTGCTCTCATGCCTGGTCGTATTTATAGCAGGGTCATTCCCCTCTCAGCCTTCTCCTTTTTTCTCATGTTGTTCTCTTACTACATTTTTAAGAGGAGAATCTTTGGAGAAGATTTAAGAGGCTAGACACCTGGTTTCCACTGCAAAAGACAACTAATTAATTTACATGCCTTTGCAAACAGCTACATTCACACTGTCATGTTTTTTTTAAAGCCTTTGCATCAACCTCTCCCAGGTTCTTGTTTCCATGCTTGCAAGCATCCTGGACAGGTTCCTGTATTTTCCTGTGTCCAAAATGGATGTTGCTCTGAGATCACACGCATCTGCTCTGCTTTCTGGAACAGACTCCTTGTTCATACAGTTCTCCTTACAAATAAAAAACTGCATTCTTCATGTGCTCAAATCTGAGGCTACTTTTATGGGAGTCTTCTTTCCCCATTCGTATTACTGCTGAA